AAACTAAATCCCGTCTATATTACTTCAACAGAGGGGCCCTTTACAGTCTTCGCCCCTACTAACGACGCCTTCAACAAGCTCCCTCCTGGTACCGTGGACAGCCTCCTACAGGACATCCCCGCCCTTCAGAAGATCCTGCTGCGCCACGTCGTCCCTTCAACTCTCTATTCTCGTGCTCTTCTGGGGAACACCTTTAGTACAGCGAGCCAGGAGGAGGTTGGTGTTGTGTTATGTTGTTAGTTCTTTTTTTCTTTTTTTCTTTTTTCGTTTTCTTTTTTCTTCTTACTTTTTTTCCTATTTCTTCTTCGTTCTTCTTTCTTCTTTATTCTTCTCTTTCTTTTTCTTATTCTTCTACGTCTTCTTTTTCTTTTTTTCTTTTTCATGATCGTTTCTTCCTTTTCTTCTTTTTCTTCTTCTTTTCTTATTCTTCTTTGTCTTTCTTTTCGTCGCGCATATTACTAACGATATGGGTAATATGATATCTTTATTGTTAGGTGCAAAACTAAAATATAGAGATAAAAGTGTACAAAAATGGCATTATAATTGTTAAATAGAAAAAAAATAAAACACAAATTAATTAAAACTGAAAACTATACATTCTAATCGCAAAATCAAACACTATAACATACTTTCCTAATCACAAACATTCATCTAGAATCACCCTGGAAAAATCAACTTTTTTCTTTTTTGAGAAGGATCTCTTTTCTCATTTTTTCCTATGCATGTTGAAGAGCCAATCGAGATCTGTTTTTAATATTTTGTTAGTGCCCTATTTTCTCCTCTCTCTCGATTTCTTTCTCTCTCGATTTCTTTCTCTCTCGATTTCTCTCTCTCTCTCGATTTCTTTCTCTCTCTCTCTCGATTTCTCTCTCTCTTTCGATCTCTCTCTCTCTTTCGATCTCTCTCTCTCTTTCGATCTCTCTCTCTCTCTTCTCTCTCTCTCTCTCTCTCTCTCTCTCTCTCTCTCTCTCTCTCTCTCTCTCTCTCTCTCTCTCCTTCTTTAAGTGACCCCCAAAAAATCTATTTCTTCTTCCTCCACAGTTGTCAGTGTCCCAGGACGCCTTCGGTCGCGTAACAGCTTCCACGAGTGCCAACACCGCCCTCGTGACGATTCCCAACACACCTGTTTCCAACGGAGTCATCCACGTCATCGATACCGTTATCTAAAGTCATCTCATTGTGTATATACGTCATCGTCTTCACGTGTGTCATCTTGTATCATGTATTTTTCATATAAATTTTCGTTTTTAATTTTTGCTTGTTTTTTTTCCCTTTCTTTAAGTCCTATTAACCTAATGTGCGCGGGTGGCAAAACTAAAATGCCATACCCACTATAATAAGACGTTTATCTGTTGTTCGTTACATACAGATGGCTCTATAACTGCTTAGTCACCAAGGAGTCAGCTATTAGTCTTATCTTTCTCAGCTGTTTACCCTTTTCCTTCATTTTTTGAAAGCTTCACTTCTATTATTTTATTATTTTTGATGTTATTGATATTTGAATAACAATTTAATACTCATGATATCAATTAGAATGATAACAATGTCAATATTAGTAGTATTGGAAAGAAAAACACCTTTTCCCGCCAATTCAAGGAATGGGGAAATCAGGGTCGGTCACTAGGGCCAGTTGATAGACTCCTTGCTGCTGAGCACACGTGGAGCCATCTGTATGTAACAAAACTCACTTAAATCTAAAGGGGACGGTAAATATGCCCGCTGTCATTGGGTTAATGGGTTAAGAATCTAAGGAGAAGGAACTGACAGAGAATTTAAAGAAAATATATATATATATATATATATATATATATATATATATATATATATACATATACATATATATATATATATATATATATATATATATATATATATACATATATATATATATATATATATATATATATATATATATATTTATGTGTGTGTGTGTATAGATTTGTATCTATATGTATATATATATATATATATATATATATATATATGTGTGTGTGTGTGTGTGTGTGTGTGTGTGTGTGTGTGTGTGTGTGTGTGTGTGTGTGTGTGTGTGCGTGTATATATATGTATATATAACATGTATATAAAACATTATTTATATATATACATATAACAATACATATATATAAAACATTATATACATATTTGTGTGTGTGTATGTGAATGTATATATACACATATACTTATATATATATATATATATATATATATATATATATATATATATATATATATATATATATATAAGTATATGTGTATATATACATTCACATACACACACACAAATATGTATATAATGTTTTATATATATGTATTGTTATATGTATATATATAAATAATGTTTTATATACATGTTATACACACACACACACACACACACACACACACACACACACACACACACACACACACACATATATATATATATATATATATATATATATATATATATATATATATATATATATATATATATATGTATGTATGTATGTATATATATATATATGTATATATATATATATACACACACACACACATATATATATATATATATATATATATATATATATATATATATATATGTAAATTATCGTTTCATTCGCCTTTGTTATCACCAGCATCGTAATCATGAAGATAATGAAGATGGCAATCACTGTCTTCACTGTTATTGTCTTTACTCTATCTTTGTTATATTTACCAATAACGTACTTTTGTCTCTAACTATCCGAAGTATAAAGGAGTCCCTATCATTCATAGAATTACAGTAAGGGTACTTTTGACCTCCAGTTAAGAGGAGGGGGTGACATCTACCGGATATCCGAACCAAGAGTACCTAATGCTATTTGTGTGGAATCATAGAATATCAACTATAGGCTATAGCTGCGCCCTCTTAGCCTTGTTTGCGTTTATCATGGTCAACAGTGTAGGTTATTCGATTTTCTGTTTAATTGGTCATGAGCATCGCTTTTCAATCAGATAATATCAACGGAAGAATAAGTAAGAAAGTATATTCGTGTTATATATATATGTATATATATATATATATATATATATATATATATATATATATATATATATATATATATGTGTGTGTGTGTGTGTGTGTGTGTGTGTGTGTGTGTGTGTGTGTGTGTGTGTGTGTGTGTGTGTGTGTGTGTGTGTGTGTGTGTGTGTGTGTGTGTGTGTGTTTTAGTATTGTCCGTTGTATACATTTTATGAGTTCATTATGTGTTCTTTCCTAATTTCAAAGAAAACAAACACAAAGTATCATTGTGTAACTTTAATTCTGTCTCAAGAAAATAGTCTAGAATAGTACATTATACCAGGATTATTTAGAAATATTTGAAAAAAAATGCTTCAGGTTCGATTATGAAATGTTCATTTAGTTATCCAGTCTATTTAGTCGTTTTCTATGAACGATTAAAGCGATGTCTTACTATAGAAAATATACATTTATTGGGGAAACTATAGTAAAAAGTAGCTAATGTTATTTTGCATTGAGATTTACAACAAATTAGATACTTCATATTTTTTCCGTTCTTCTAAAATAATTTCCCATAGGTAGGAGCATTCCAGATTCCAATATACAGGTTGATATTAATTTTTCGTTCTTCTATTTCTCATAGGTAAACATATTCCTGATTCCAATATACATATTGATATCAATCAAATGAGACTTGCATTTCTGTTTTTAATGTTAGAGATTTTAACGTTAATATTCTTTGATGAAGGACAAACTGATATGTTATCTGTATAGTGTACACGGATATGCACATATATCTATAGGTATAAATGCATATATATAGAACGTAGAAGTCATAAGCATTTTATCTATGACCTTGTAAATTTTAAGTGTATTTTCACTGCAGACAGTAAAGTTATTTGGTTGTGGCTTCACAGATAACAGAAGTTATGGTCACTAAGGCCTTTTCACAACATAAACGAAAAACTGACGTCCAGACAAATAATATTTTTATATAAATATATATATATATATGTGTGTGTGTGTGTGTGTGTGAATATAGATGTATATACATATGTGTGTATATATATATATAAATATATATATATATATATATATATATATATATATATATATATATTTATATATATATATATGTATATATGTATATACATAGATATATATATATATATATGCATATATACGTATATATATGTGTGTGTGTGTGTGTGTGTGTGTGTGTGTGTGTGTGTGTGTGTGTGTGTGTGTGTGTGTGTGTGTGTAATGCTGGACCCTGAGGATGTGCCTTCATCCTTAACGAGAACAACAGCAATAATAATAATAATTATTATTATTATTATTATTATGCAGACAATAATGATAATAATAATGCAATGAAAATTGTTAATGATAATGACAATGATGATAATGATAATAACAATGATGATAATAGTAATAATGATGACGATAATAATAATAACGATAATGATTTAGTAATAATAAGGATGATAATGAAATGGCAAAAATAATGATAATGAAGACAATGATAAAAATGAAAATATTAGAAATAATAATAACAATGGAAATAACAACCTATGTGTGGCAGACAAATTGAATACACGTTTAAAGAAGACTTTAGTGTTATAAGTTTTTTTTTTTTTTTTTTTTTTTTTAGATTCGCGAAGCAGAGCTTCGCCCGGGCTATGCCTATTTGGGAAGTTTGTGTCACACACTTTTTGTTTTTCTGTACTGATGACATTGATATTTTGATATATTATGAATTCTGTATAGATTGCATTAGAATTTATAGTGAGGAAATAGGACACTAAACTCGGATAATTTGTAAAATATATTAACACGGAAATTTCATAATGGTGAAAAATAAATGGCACTCATCCAACTTCTGATATAACTTAAGTGAAAGATTTGCTTACTAAAAAGAGGGAAAATACATTGTGGAGTCAACATGCAGATTACACCATGTATTACACAGTAGTGGTTATTCACTCAGACCTAATGTAGCCCCTGGAGAGTTTTAATGTACAACTGAGGGTATATGTGCCCCAGACTGCGAACCCCTGCAATAGACCAAAAGAACATTTAATACATTAAAAATAAAGAACGTAACCGATATTTGAAAGAGTCAAAAGGCCAGCTAGCTCGTGCAGAGTACACAGTATGGCTAGAATAGTAAATAAGTTTCAAACCGCATGTAGTAGTGTGTCTGGTCTCATCTTCAACACACTTGCTTTAGACGTAATCATAATTATGGTCACTGAGGTCTTTAAAAAACGTAAACAAAATAAAAATATTATATCTGGTTTGTTTAACACAGTACACAGTAGCTCCATTATTCAATCATCTGTCAATCATATATTTTCCATCTTACATATCCAAAAAGTATAAGAAATCAAGGCTTATGATATATGAAATAAATAATGATAATAATAATGTCCGAAAGCATATCAACAGTTCCATTTTCTTAATCACTAACAAATATATTCATTTCCTCACAGATCCCCAGGAGAGTAAAAATCAAAATTATCCAAGAAGTCGATCAAGAAAGGTGTTCTATCTATCTATCTATCTATATACATTTTTTTTTCTTTCTTTTTTTTGCGGTCGAGTCTTTCCCAACCTCAGAGCTAATGAATTCATCGGAGGATCGGTGGTGGCCTTTTAACTGTACTCTCCAGAGATGAATCGTATGAACGCTTTGGTCTTGTATCCGAGAGGGAGTGAGGTTCTAAAACGTCACCTCCATTAGACAAGAGCTCCTTTTGGGCAATTAAGTTCAGACAAGAGCTCCTTCGGGTAATTAGTTTTGGGTTAAGCTAGTGCGTGGTGAGCGAGTGAGCGTAACGTTCATGTTCTCGGCGCTGTGTTTACTGAATTTCCTCTTAATGCGTTTTATATGTCTGGCTGTTCCTTTAAGAATTGGTGAGGTTTGATGAATATCTTTGTTTGCGGAAAAAAAGGGGATAGATATATTCCTGTTGGAGGTTGCTAGGAGGTTGTAATTGATTATGTTGCTAATGGTTTGGATTAAGTTGACAGTTGGGTAGAAAAAACTTCATGATGGTTTTGGATAAATAAATGTTTAGATATATAAGCTAATGGTTGGATAATAGTTGTTAATGCTTCTTTATAAATAAGTCTTTTTGAATGCTTGGATAAACTATGTTATTGAAGGGCTGGATAAATAAAA